TGAGACATCACCACGAAGAGAGAGAGAGAGAGAGAGAGAGAGAGAGAGAGAGAGAGAGAGAGAACTGAGCGATACAAGATTGGTTGGCTACGCACCTGCGCTGAGAGATCACCACGAAGAGAGAGAGAGAGTTGAGTGATACAAGATTGGTTGTGCAGTTCGACGAAGAAGGGAGTGGCGGCCATAGCGGCAGAGCACGGACACGGGGTTGACGAAGGAAGTGGAGAAGGGAGGAGAGACCGGAGAGGAAGAGGAAGACATAGCTGAGGAAGGAGGAAGGAGAGACAACGGAGTTGAAGACAGACATAGCCGAAGGTGAAAAAAAAAAAAAAAAAAAAAAAAAAAAAGAGAGAAGGAGAAAGAAGAAAGGTGAAGGAGGGGGAAAGAGAAGTGAAGGGTGGCGAGGAAGGAGGTGCCAACAGCCATAGCCGACATGGAGGTTGACCGGGTGTTGACCAAGGGTTGATTGGGCGTTGATCGGAGGGTTGACCGGAGCGTTGACTAGGGTTTGACCGCGATGACCAAGGCGTTGACCAGGAACTGTTGACCACGATTTGGACCAAGCTGGAGTTGGTATAATCTCGCCAAGCCCTTAACCTATCCCCTCGCACTATGGATGTGCACTCACCCTATGGTACTTGCTGAGTCTGAGTCTGTATGTCTCTTCTTTCTGCATTGAGTCTCTTTTGTCGAGGTGATAGGACTCCGTGTATGAAGGATAGGGCCTCGTTGACCAAACACACATGGGCTGAGTAGGGCTAAAGACTGTGTCTGACGACTCGACTGTCCCGGAGGACACGAACCCTCCCAAGGACCGGTACTGACCGGCGGGCTGCTCGGTGTGGCACGGTAGGCCCAAAATCCGAGCTGTGGGCTGCACAACGGACCGTCTAAGTCTTGAGAGAACCTGCTGAGCGCGTCGTCCTGACTGCGACGTTAAAGAATTCCTGAGGACTTACGGGGGATCTCCTTAAATGCCTCCTGGTCAGCAACAGATTCTGTAGTGATGGCTGTAGTGATTAGAGTCTAGGCTAGAGACCATAGTTGACAGGGCTCTCTACGAACCCTGTGGTCCATAGATTGAGTCAGTCTCAGTTAGGGGGAGAGTCTAAGTGGTGAGGAGTGGAACCATCACTTGGTTGTGCGTCTATCACCATGGTTGACACACGTAGCGGAACGAGCACCTCCCCTTATACGGTAGAGCAGGACGCGAAGACCGTCGCCATCCTGGAAGAGAGAAAAGAAAAGAAAGAGGCCAAGAAGAAAGTCGTGATGGAGGAGTGGGCGACGAAATTGAAGAAGACTGAGGAGGAGATGGCCATAGAGAGAGAGAGAGGCTGAGAAAAGAGCAAGAAGAGAAGTTGAAGGCGGTAGAAGAGGAGGAAGAGGTAGAAGAAACGCCACTGGAGAGGAGAAGAAGGGGGCAAGGAGGTGAATCCAGTGGTACAAAGCAGGATCAGATGGAGAAGAAGATTACGGAGTGGGTTGCTGGTTTGTCCCTGGGGGAAGAAGACGAGGCATTGATGTATGTGCCCAAGGAAGAACAAGAGGCCGCCATGAAAATGTGAGATGCAGAAGAAGACCCACTCAGTGGAAGTTTCGATTGATGAGGGAGAGGAAAAGGAGAATGGAGGCGGCTAGCCAGGTGGCGAATGAATTGGAGGAGGTGAAAAAGCAAAGAGAGCAGATGGCGACGCAGGTGGACCTATTGGGGAAGATGGAGATAATGGCGAGGAACATAGAGCGCCTGGCACAAGTCCAGGAAGAACAATATCTATTTGGTAGAGGTCAAGACATTGCCTTACGCTCTATACGGTTGAGGCTCAGGGACTTCGCCAGGGAATTGGCGACGCAGGTGGGCTCAGAGGTGAGGCCCCGCTTAGAGGGCACAAAACGTTATTGTACGGACGCCATAGAAGGCGCCAGATTGACTACTCCCAAGGAGGAGGAAGCACGTCCCCGAAGGGAGCCTGTCAAGGTCAAGTTCCCTGACTCTTATAGTGGGAAGAGAGAGGAGAATTTTGACAATTGGGAAGCCAATGTCAAAACCTACGTCCATCTGCAGAAGGTCTCCCCGGACGGGCATGTCCCAATAGCTATCCATGCCCTTCGCGACGAAGCAGCAAGCTTCGCTCGTTTCTTGTGCCGCGCTGCTAACTGTAATGATGATCTAGTCGCGTATTCTGCATTCACTCCCCTCACTGACTTCCTTAAGTTATTGCGCGAACGATTCGCAGATGTCTCGCATAGCGTCAAAGCCTCCGATAGATTGCAAACCATCCACTCTCGTCAGTGGAAGAGTGCCAGAGCACTGGTTGCCATCCCGGACCATGGGGTCACAGAGACCCAATTGGTCAACCTCTTTTACTGGGCTATGCTCGAACAATTACGAGGGCACTTCTTTGAGAAGAGCCAGCAGCCCACCATGACCTACGACGCATTGACCAGGGAAGTGGTGGCGTTCAAGGCGAGGTCCATGTAAATTTCCACTTTTTGGCATAAGGACCTGGATAAGGGTAAAAAGTGGAAGGGTGGCACCATCTCGGGTCAGGTCAGGACCAAGGATCGTTTGATCCTTACGTTAGATGAGGGTGGTGTCGACGAGGTCCCCTACGAGCAGATTGAGTGGGGACTAGAGGAGGAGGACAGTGGCGTTAGCCAGGGGAGGACTTACGCTGCTGTCGCGGTTGGAGGGAGGCCGCAAGGAGAAGGTAGAGAGCCCAGGGCCAAGGGGGCTGGGCCTCAGGGGGTCGTTCCCAGGGCGATCAGGGGGTTGGTGGTAGAGGAGGAAACCGCCAAGCGGGAGGAAGGGGTCAAGGTCCCCTGCAAAACCGTTCAGGGAATAGGTCGCCTAATAGGGGTAATAGATCACCCTATAGGAGAGGAGGATGGCACTCAGGTCTGCCACAGGGTAGGCCTTGGGAGGACTTGGGCCTGGACCAGCGCGTCTGGCAACAGCGTGTGGACCAGGGGCAGTGCATTTATTGCGGTGACCCTGGCCACATCATCAAATACTGGCCAAAGTACAGAGAGGCCCGAGGGGCTGCCCAGGGGTCAAAAGGCAGCCGTCGGTAGGGGTAGCAACTGCCCCTACCATAAGGCCATGTGGGGAAATGAGCGCGAGCCGGCAGGAGTCTCCCACACCACATGTGCATATGGCAAAGGTTGCAGGCCGGTGCCTAGATAGTTGTCCAAAGACTGCTTGTTTTAGGGTCTCTCTAGGCACTTCCCTCACAGGCGTGGCCGATGAGCTAAAGGAGAGGATGCTCGCCTGGGCCAAGATGAAAAAGGAGAGTAGAGGACAACTAGTTTTGGTAGATGTAGAAATTTTCAGAGGTAGAGTAGGGGCCCTAGTAGATAGTGGGGCCACGCGCAGCTATATCGGTAGAAAGGCGGTGCAGAAGTTGAAGTTGGGGCGAAAAGTCCAGAAGTTACCAGAACCCATAGTGAGCATCCTCGCAGACAATCGCACGATGCGAGTAGAGGATTATGTAGAGGGAGTCCAGGCGTTCTTTCACCTAGAGAAAGATGGGAAGGTGGAGAAAGTTCTCCATTCCCTGACTCTCCTCGTAGAGGATCACCTTTCTTTTGACATAGTTCTGGGAATGGATTGGGGAGAGGCAGCCGGGGCCACACTCCATTTGAGAGAGCACGAGTGTAGGCGCCCTAGTCCATCAGGCGGGGTCAAGACTGCCCGTTTGTTCCACGTGTCAGGAGTAGACGACTCCCTGGCACACTGCTGCCTTAGCGCTCCTACATTTGCAAGATTAGTGAAGGAGGAGCAGCTAGAAGAACAGGTCTTTGTAGCCTATGCTAGGCCAGTGACTGAGCCTAAAGAGGAGAAACCTATAGACCCTGCTATGGCCAAGCTGCTGGAAGAGTTTACAGACTTAGCTAAGCCACCAACAGGAGTAGTACCGCGACCAATCCAACATCGTATTGAAATAGAGCCTGGCAGTAGGACTCCTAAGGGAGCAGTGTATAGGATGTCCCCGCGGGAGTTGGAGGAGCTGCGCAAGCAATTAGACGAGTTCCTAGAGAAGGGTTGGATTAGGCCCAGTTCGTCTCCATTTGGAGCACCTGTTCTGTTTGTTCCCAAGAAGGAGGGAGAGCTCAAAATGTGTATAGAGTATAGGGCTCTCAATGCTATCACCGTGAAGAATGCAGAGCCTCCGCCCCGTATAGACGATCTTTTAGATCGGGTGCAGGGTTGCAAGTATTTTTCGGAGATAGATCTGAAGTCCGGATATCATCAGGTAGAGGTCCATCCTGATGATCAGTATAAGACTGCGTTCCGGACTAGATATGGGCACTACGAGTTTATAGTTATGCCCTTTGGACTAACCAACGCGCCAACGACTTTTCAGCGTTTTATGAATGACTTGTTTAGGTCGTGGTTGGACAGGTTTGTGGTAGTCTATTTAGATGACATTCTAGTGTTCAGTCGGACCCTCCAGGAGCATGAGGGTCGTCTAAGGCAGGTCTTGGAGAAGCTCAGAGAGGCTAACTTCAAGATCAGCGCGAAGAAGTGTGAATGGGCAAAGACCCAAGTTCTGTATTTGGGCCATGTCTTAGATGGAGACGACATCAAACCAGAAGATAGTAAGATTGCAGCAATTAATTGGCCTACACCCCGCACGTTGACAGAGTTGCGGTCGTTCGAAGGCCTAGCTAACTACTACAGGAAGTTTGTTAGGAACTTCTCCACCATCGCTGCTCCCCTTCGCAGGTTGTTGAAGAAAAAAACAATCTGGAAGTGGGACAAGGACTGCATGTTTGCCATGAAGAAGTTGAAACAGGGATTGATAGAGTACGCAGTCCTTAAGGTAGCCGATCCGTCCTTGCCTTTGTTGTCACCACTGACGCAAGCCAGTATGGTATAGGTGTTGTATTACAGCAAGACGATGGCAATGGATATAGACCCGTAGAGTTCATGTTTGCTAGGATGCCTTCAGAGAAGGTAGCGACATGTACCTACAAGAGGGAACTCTACGCTCTCAGGCAAGCATTAGAGCACTGGAAACACTACTTGCTTGGGAGGCACTTCAAAGTCTATCCAGACCACGAGACATTAAGGTGGTTGAAGACTCAGGCCAAGATGACACCTAAGCTGACTAGGTGGGCCGCAGAGCTAGACCAATATGATTTTGAGCTCAAGCCCCTCAAAGTTAGAGTAGTTGTGGACGCTCTGAGTAGGAGAGCTGATTACTTTGGAGCGATAGTTCATTACCTGGATATAGGGAGAGACCTGCAACAAAAAGTTAGAGTGGCGTATGTGCAGGACCCTATCTACAGTGACCTCCTCAAAAGAGTAAAGGAGGCCCCAAGGTCGGAACCAGGCTACCGCACTACTGATGGGGTACTATTCGAGAAGACTAACGTAGTTGACCGATTGTGCGTTCCTAACAGTGAAGAGATCCGTAGTTTGATCCTAGGGGAATGCCACGATACTGAGGGACATTTTGGTACCTTCTCAGGCAATCTAGTGCCGCGTGGATTCTCAAGTCTCGGGCTCGCTATTGGCAAAAGACTCTAGCTAACCTCATGCACGCGTACATATGGCCTGGGATGAAGGCCGAGTGCATAAAATATTTTCGCAGTTGTAAGGTCTGCCAAAGAAATAAGACCTCTACGTGTGCCTCTCTAGGTCTTCTCAGACCCTTGCCTATTCCTGATCAGCCAGGAGATTCAGTGTCCATTGACTTTATGGACACCCATGTCAAGAGTAGGCACGACAAGAGCCAAGTCATGGTAATAGTTGACAGGTTTCGTTTCCTTTGTCCTCAGAGGCACGCACATAATTATTTGATCATTGGGTCAGTGGACACGGGATTCCACTGTCTATAGTTAGCGATAGAGACACCCGGTTCAGTAGTCAGAACTGGCAGGAGTTGATGAGAGTCTATGGCTCCAAGTTGTTGAAGTCATCTGGTCGTCATCCAGAGACTAACGGTCAGACTGAACAAATGAATACGATCCTGCAACAAGTTCTGCGAATGTACATTAGACCGGATCAGATCAATTGGGATGAGATGTTGCCCAAAGTAGCCAGTGCGTACAATAACAGCGCGCACTTGTCTACCTGTCGCACTCCCAACGAGTTACACAAGTCCTTTAGGCCACGTAGACCGTTTGAGGGACTTAACCAAGACCAGATTCAAAGGCTACCGCCCGGAACTAGGGAGTTTGCGTCGCCCGTCACAGTTTCAAGTAGGCGACCTGGTCTGGGTCAAGTACAAAGAGTTTGCTCGTGAGGAAAACATCTCGCAGAAGTTACTGCCCGCGTATAGAGGACCGTGGCCAGTTCTGGAAGTTCAGGGCGGAGAGGATGGGCCATCCTACATAGTAGAGATCCCAGCACACCTCCACACCTACCCTGTGTTTCATGCCTCAAAGTTGTTGCCGTGTGTCACAAGTCGACAATTTCCATGTAGAAGATCCATGATTCCTCCAGACATGGACGGAAGGTACGACATTGACGGCATTGTAGGTGAAGACGTGTTCAGAGCAGGACGTAGAGGTCGTCCGCAGAAGCAGTACAAGGTTCGGTTTGCTTATCAGGAACCAGAGGACGGCCGCTGGTTTACTGGAACAGAACTTCTAGAAACAGCTCCCGATGTAGTTAGAGCCTAGAAGAGAGATAAGAAAGGTAAAGGTCCTGCCTTGGACTGAGTTATTCTTGGAGGACCTCGAATTTAGGCCGGTGGGAGTGAAACGGTTTTCACCTTTAGCCGTAGCGAATGCAGATCCCAGGGCTCGATCCCTAGTTCTCACCTTACCTGTGTACAGTATCTGTGTCGACCCCGAGTGTTTAAACCCGTGACCTGTTTTTTGGCAGTTGTTGTTGTCTATTGTAGGTCTATGTAGTGGTAGGGGTTCGATCTGTAGGTCTGTCGAGTAGGAGTCACATCCCTGTAGAGGTCGTAGCTGTAGGGATCCTGAAAGGTCAAGGTTGTAGCTGCTACAGTCCTGAGAGGTCAAGGTCGTAGCTGCTACAGTACCCGAAAGGCCAAGTCTACAGACTTCCGGAAGGTCCCGGAAGTGGCTTTCGGAGTGGACTCACGTTTAGGCAGAGGCAAGTGGGCAAGTGGTGGAGCCAACCTCAGTACGTTGGCAGTGCGACTGCAGTGAGTCTGTGGTGCAAACCCATGCAGTCAGCGGTACCGGTCCAGTCAGTCCCAGTCCAGTCCAGCAAGTACCATGAGGGACTGTGTGCACCATGGGCCGATGTAAAAAGGGCAGACCAGCGAGTTACAGAAGTAAAAATCAGGAGGCATCGCCCAGCCATTCATTCATTCCTGCGTGAGCCATGCGGAAGCGCTGCCATAGTGACTTGTGCGAGGTGGTCTGCAGTGAGCCCGAGGACGAAGTGGGCGAGAAGGAAGTTAGCCATAGCGGTAGAGTAGTAGCGGCCATAGCCGCCATAGCTGTAGGTGTGTGCGGGTGTGTGTGAGTGTACAGAGTGTGATGTGTGTGGGATATCCAGGGTGATCCTGTGTGCGAACAGCAGTGTTGAGTAAGCGGCGAACAAAGAGTTGTACAGGCAATGTGCCGCCATAGCCGTCTGAAGTGAACTTGTATCTGAGCTGCGTTCTTGGCACTATATCTCTGAGTTTTGAGTGGGCGCTTGACGCCAGTTTGCTGCGCAACCTGTTTGCATGCATGTGGAGTGTGAATGAAAGCGAGTCTGATTGCAATTCATTACCTTTTATTAGTTTTTGAAGTCTTTTTGTAAGCTTTTTTATAGTTTTTGACTTTTAACTAAAGTTTGGTTAGGAATTCTGACATGACTCTGAGGCAGAAGTGGTTTGCATTGTTATTCTGCATAACATACTCGTTTTTCAGATTTTTTTTTTTTTTTTTTAATGGTCCGGACATTTCTGGACCTGTCCAGACATCCGGACCATCCGGATCCCCCATGTCCGGAGGTCCGGAAATGTCCGGCATTCTGGATGTCCGGAAACTACCGGACACGGGTCCGGTTCCATGTCCGGAAATGTCCGGGTCCAGGTCCGGCGTAGCCATGCAACGAACAACCCACTAACAATCCCGACAAAAGCATGTGCTCGGACATGCTGCAATCTCCCGCTGTAAAAAGCACATGTGCAATCATACTCGTTTTCAAACACACTTTTCATGCATGTAAACAGCAACGCAGCATACTGGCGACATGCGCCCACACAAGACTCAGAGATATGGCTTCAGATATGAGTTCACTCTCAATCAGTTATGGCGACTTCAGCGCCCAAACAACTCACTGTTCACATACACTGGATCACCCTGGATATCCCACACGCATCCCTCTAACACTCCAACACTTACACACCCACTCACTG